ACCAAAGCTAGCCTTGTTTACGTCAAGATACCGAAGAGCTTTGTTGACGAAATCCCTCTCAATGACAATATCAGATAATACACCATGTGTGGTATAGCTCAGAGTAGGCAGAGGTACAACAAATTCACCAGCAACTGGGGTATTAAATACGGAATCAAAATAATTATTAAATAAATTCGCCTTAAAACGTGGCTCACTCGCTGAGATGTCATGATGAGAAACAACGTTAGGTATTCTGCTAGATTTGTTGATGACTTTGTAGTACGACCAAAATCGTTTCGGATTATCTTTAAGTGATTGACCCAAATTGGTAATATAATCTTTCTTTTTGTACTTGATAAGTTTCTTTATATCAGCACGCAAGCGGCGAAAACGTCACCACAAGTTAGCGCTGTCACGGACTTTAGCCTTGCGCCTAGGATTATTCTTCTTACGCAATAAATAAACGATTTCCCTGTCTACCCAAGGCGGCTGGTGGATGTCGCGAACGCGTACCTTTGCTACATATTGATCAGCAATTGACGTAAAAACTTGTTGCCATTTTTCACAACTTTCGTTAACATCTTCGTTATCTAGCAAAACGTTGTCCCAATCAATGAAGCGGTAAAGATTGCCTCATACCATAAAAATTTGCATTATGAAAATTATAAACAGTACTTTTGTTTTCTTTTGACGCTTGACTTTAGCTTCAATGCAAAAATTAACAACCAAATGATCGGACTCAAAAATATCCGACTCAATTCTCAGTTCTGATACATTATCAGGGAAATTGCATAAAATTAAATCCAGAATAGACCCCACGTTATTTTGTTGACCAGAATATCTAGTTGGTGCATCTACTACTTGGGTTAAAAAGTGGTAAAGTAGCAGTTTACCAAATCACAAAAAAATTGTCCATATCTACAAAAAACGGTGAATTCTCTTTGTTCTGCATACCATTCTGTTCAAAAATATTGTTGCCAAAATTGTAATTAATGTAAACAAAGCCACTGTACTCTTTGTACTAAAGTTTTAATTTTGGGTCTTTAAATTATGTTGTAATATATTATTTTGGGTAACGAAAATAAAAATTCATACCTTTTCATTTTCTTCAAACTCGCTTATCTCTTTGTCAGTGATCATGACTTGCACAATTAAAACGGCTAGCCGTGTTGATTTTACGAAGAAATACCGGCCAAAATACAGCAGAAATAATATAAATTTTATTGTTTAAACGACAGAACAAAAAACGTAACGCTAACGTATATATGCGCCTGCGATATTAGCGTCCGTATTAACTACTCAGTACTTTATGTACCCAATACATGTAATATTTGAGTGTCTACAAAATCTATTAGTTTCAACACTCCCACTCACTCAACATATTGCTGTACTATGATAAGTCCAAGTCTTGCTCGGAGATTCTCAAACTGTCCCCGCGCGGTAAATGCTTCGTGAAAATATCCGCGACCATTTCATGTGTAGGACAATACTTTAGTTCGATTGTTCTCTCTTGAATTTTCTCTCGAACAAAGTGAAATTTAATATCGATATGCTTTGTGCGCTTGTGTAAAATAGGATTTTTTGACATTGCGATTGTCCCTTGATTGTCCTCGTTAATAGTGGTTGGACTCGAACAATTTATTTGCAAATCCATGCTCAGTTTTCGTAACCATACACTTTCTTGAGTTGCCAAGCAAAGAGCGATATATTCGGCTTAAGCTGTTGAAAGTGCTACCGTAGGTTGCTTCTCACTTGCCCAACCAATGGCACCATTGGACATTACAAATACGTTGCCAGAAGTAGATCTTCGATCATATGAATCTGCGGCCCAATCTGCGTCGGAATATCCTTCCATATCTCTATCGCTTGCTTCGTACTGGAGATGCAGTTTAACTGTTCCCTTCAGATAGCAAAAAAAAGTTTGACAGCAGTATGATGTGCTTCATTAAGGGACGAGTTAAACTTTGCTAAATTACCAACTACGTGAGCTATGTCCGATCGAGTAGCTATAGCTGCATAAATCAAGCTTCCAACCATCGATTGGTACTCAACAGGATCTACTGCTTTGCTGTAACCATCATCTTTCACCAGCTTCACATTCACATCCATCGGCGTCGATACAGGTTTACAATCTTCTAACTTGTACTTGTGCAATATCTTGTGAATATACTGCTCTTTGCTCATTTGCAAAACACAGTCCATCGTTTTAATGTTTACTCCAAGACAGTAATGAAGCTTACCCATATCTTTCATCTTGAGACGAGCTGCGAGACTGGCCTTCAAGTCGATCATTTCTTGCTCGGTTTCGGTTAAGAGTATGAAATCGTCAACGTGTACAGCAACTATGGTAAGTTGATCATTGACTTTCCGAATGAAGACACACGGATCAGCAGCACTTTGCTCAAATCCTTGGGATATCATGAATTCCTTGAACGACTTGTTCCAACATCGAGGACTCTGTTTCAATCCATAGAGAGATTTTTTTTGGTGGCACACAAGATTTTCTTTTCCGGGAACAACATAACCTTCTGGCTGCTCCATATAGATATCTTCGTCAAGAGTTCCATTTAGGAAAGCGATAACGACATCCATTTGATGGATAAACATATTTCTGGAAATAGCAAACGCCAAAAGAGCTCGGATAGATGTAAAGCGAACGACAGGTGAAAATGTTTCATCAAATTCGATCCCGTACTTTTGTAGAAAACCTTTCGCTACAAGACGTCCTTTAAACCGATCGATCTTCCCATTTTCATCATGTTTAACTTTAAATACCCATCTGCAGGTAATTGCCTTTCGTCCGGGTGGCAGTTCGACAAGCTCCCAGGTCTCATTTTCCATTAGAGATTGATATTCAGAGTCTGCAGCTATCTTCCAGTTTTCCGCATGATCACTTTCGAGAGCTTTCTTCAACGTTGTTGGCTCTTCAACTTCTGTTACATAGAGAGCTGTATGCTTTGCTGTTGTGATACCATCGTATTCATCATGATAATAAACTGGTGGCTTTCTTTCTCGCGCTGAACATCTGCTATCAGGTGATTTCTTATCTGATTCTTCTTTAGAGCACTCATCATCCTTTTCCTCAACCTCCAATTGTACTCTGTTCGTATGTCCGAAGTCAGTTTCATTGAAAGTAACATCTCGACGGATAAAGATTTTACGTTTATTCTCATCGTACAATCGATACCCCTTCTGTGTCAAACAATAGCCAACGAATCGCATTTTCAATGCTTTCTGGTCGAGTTTCTGACGTGACGAAACTGGTACATGGGCATATGCAGTGCAACCAAAAACACAGAAGTTTGAAACATCCGGTTTCTTACCGTACCATCGCTCATATGGGGTGACTCCAGTTGCTGTTGTGATAACTCGGTTTCTTATGTATGCTGCTGAACAAACTGCTTCAGCCCAGAAACTCTTCGATACTCCTGCATGTAAGATCATTGATAAAGCAGCTTCCTGGAGCGTCCTGTTCATCCGTTGGGCGATACCATTCTGTTGTGGTGAGTGGGGTACAGTTGTCTCGTAATGAATACCTTTCTCTTTGAGGAAATTTTGGAATTCAGCAGACATATATTCACCTCCATTCCAGGTGATCTTTATACGCGGAAAAGTACTGGCACTAGTTGTCAAATAGAAATCCATTTTATGATTAAAACAACTAAATATCTCCTGTAATATACTTTATTTCGATTCCATATTTT